CCTGCTCACTAACTCTCCCTTTCCAAGCTGTAATGATGTCTCGGTAATTTTGTGTCGATCTTTAAATTTTTCTGCTGGTACATTATAATTTTATACACTTCTTAACTTCTACTCGAAAGTCAAAGTAGTATATAAGGCCAAGCGGACTCGTGGAGAGAAATGTCCATTTCCTTGTTGATCGAAGTGAACGAAGTGTGTGAGCCAAGTTGGCACTTTTTGGATGGAGTATTACCATCTCTAGTATCGCTGAGTGGAAGGTTTAGGTTTGAAGCTCTTCGAATTCAGAGGTACTCTCTAGTATAAGTAAATTTAAGAGCTGAAGGACGGTTACCATTATTATCCAATTGCCATTGCTTTTCCTTTTTTTGTCTTTATATTTCCAAGGCATTTACGCTCTCTAAGCTTTGCCGCTTCTTTCCTTACTGCATTGCTTTCTATTTTCGGAGTAGTTGGCGTTGGGTAAAGCCTTGTCGACAAGTGCTCTGTGGGAGGTAGAAGCAACCATGTACGGTTTCGTCTCTTTTCTTCATTGCAAAAATAATAGGCCTTGGAGTTTATGCTATTTTCCTTTGGTGTATGTGTACCACGTCTTTTGTACATTATGGCGACAATAGCTTGGAAGGAGAGAAAGGGAAATCTGCACAGCTGTATTTTTCACTCCACTAGTGCATTACGTCCTCTCTGGCAGTGTTCTGTGTTATTTTGCAAGGCAGTGTCTCCTTTGTAAGGAGAAGACCGTATGGAATGGAGCCTTGATGACAAATGGTGAACACGATTTGGAACTAGAGAATTGCTTCGTTCCCTTTTTATTTGTTCAGTACTGGAACCGATGGGCATTGAAGCTTTTGCTCGTTCACTGTAGGTCTTGTGTGGGGCAGCATCGGATGATGCTCTTGCGCGTCTCATGTTGCACAAATTTGGGAGGCTTTCTGTGGATTCATTCCTACTTCTCCTTCTCAAATATCAGTATTTTGTTTTTGTGCACCGCTTTGCCTTTATTGCTTGGTAGAGCACAAGTTCCACAAATTACGTCTCCCTTCACGCCTTATCTCTCTTTGCGAGCTGATCCGCCAGAGTTGGTGCTTGACGTCATCAGTGCCTAATGGAGCTGCCTTTGCCTCTGTGAAGTTGCTCTCAGTGAAGTGCGCGACTGTTTCGCTGCCAAGGCAGGCGCAAAGGTAACTCTGTCCCCTTTTTGTGCTGTTGCTTTTTTCGAGAGGTTTTTAAATCCTCTTTTGCGAGGGCGCATTCCTAAGTATCACATGCGGCCTTTTTCCAGCCTTTGCATTTATTTTTTTTTTTTAATTTGTCTTCCTAAACACCTGCAGACAATCTTTTATTGCCCTGATTTGTTGGAAGGCATTACTTGTTACAGCATTCAGTTTTAAATTTATGTCATATTTGATTGGCATGCTTTTCATAAATTTATCAAAATCTTTCTTGACAGCAAATCATTTTTTGCAGATAAGTAGATTTAAACACTAGGAGCTTTGCCTGGAATTGTTGGTAATTGCTATCATCTGTCTTGTAATCGCTTGATCCAAATTATTGCGCAGAATTTTGTTTCAAGGAAGTTTTTGTTAAATTTCTCAAACAGGAGAAACTGCTTTCCTGTAAAATCAGTCATACGGTAAATGTATTTTGTAGGCACTGCCACTTATTACCAAGCCAACCTCTGCCAGCGGCTAATGAATTGTCGTGATGTGTCGTGATCCTGTAAAAAGGTGCTGGTGACTTTGTTTAAACGCTTTGCCTTCATCATCTTCGAAGGTGTGGGTGCAGCTTCACCTGACGTGACATCGAATTACAAGGAGCCGGAGACCGGTGTTGTCCATCCCTTTGGCCAGCTTGTGGACTCTGCGAGGATAGACAGCGACCCTAAGTGCAATGAGTACGTGGCATATGACACATGTCAAATCGAGCAGCGCTGCCTCGCTTGGATCAACCCGTAATTCACTTTCCAGTGATTTCGAAGAACGTGACAAAGATTTTATTTCTCAGTGTTAACATAGTAAATGCTACAAACAATTAATTTGCCACAGTCATTCAATGTTGTCTTCGCAATTATTGGTGGCGAATTCCACCTTGTTCAAGGATCTTTTAGGAGCAAATTGTTACCTGTGTAGGTATTCCGATCCCGATTATTCCCCTGGATCTGTACAATGACAAGAACTGTAGTTCCCTACAATTGCGTTGATGTAGTGGCAAGTGCAACTGTCTGGTCTATTGGGCAATGAAAGAATCTCGTGTGCTTTCTATCTAAGTGCCCCTTCAGTGTGGGCCGCTCGCTACTGTGCTTTGAGCTGCTCCCACATCTTGAGGCTCTGATATTAAGAAATGGTATTTAGGCACAGCGGCTACATTACGGGTTTACTCGCTGCACAAAGTGAACCCGACTGCCGTAAATTCTGCATAAATTCTGCACAGCTTTTCTAAATCGTGCCTTGATTAATCAACTTGAGTGGATGGTTGGCTTTTTGGCCAATAGTAATACCCCACAGCTTGGCAAAGGCAAGAATAGGAAGACACCCAGAAATAATAATCCATTTATAATTTATTCGCTTTTGCTTCAATGCAAGGTGTATGCGCGAGAGATTCGTTTTGACATCAATGACTTTTTTTTTAGCGTTAGGGATAGAAGGTACGTGTGCATAATGTTTATGAATAGCCATATAAGACAAAAAATATGAGATTTTTGAGCATCTTAGTTAAAAAAAAACTAAAAGGCAAAATTTATAGGCAAACACGCTTGCAGGGGATGGTAGAAGTGTAGATTGGAACGGAAAGGATTTGATAGCTTGGATACAAACTGAAAATAATTTGTTGAGATAAAAAACCTCGAGAATTAAGATTGGCCTTAAAATTTAAGAGGCAAATACTGTTTAAAAATTTTGTCAGAATAAGTTTCTTGAAAGGGAATATATGGAGTCGCCAACCTAAGCAAAATGTGATTTAATTAATGACCACATTGTTGGCATTATGTTGGCATTAGCCAAGAATAGGCCCTCTGTTTTAATGGAATTAGCGTTTTTTGTGTGCACTGGCAGTGAATCAAATAAAGTAGAAATGCATAAAATTATCAGATTGACTTTGGGCCAATTGAAATGTGCGGTATTTTAGGCGACATATGTAGGTCAAAGCAGTAAATCAAATTAAATGACAAAACAAGCAATAAAATGCTAACTAAAAATTTTTGCACCTTACTTTTACTTCTTCTTCTTCTTCTTGTGTGCCAGACGATGTTATCTAACGCTCAATGTCGCGAAGTTGATATCATCATATTCACCCTGTGTCGAGTTGCAAAACCAAAGTCAATAAAACCAAGTTTATGTTTGAAAAGTTATGACTTGACCTTAACAAAATCATTTTAAAAGTATTTGGACAGTTCAATTCACCCCCTCTTCTCTCCTTTGTGCTGCTAGTTCTAATCCCAGCCAGACTCATTCCTTGATTGACTGACTGATTCACTGATAAAGTGATTGGCAAATTCTCAAGCTGCTTATTCGTTTCATTGCGTGCTTAAATACCAATTAAATGATCTTGTGTTGCAATTGATAGTTTCGCTAAACAATCTTAGATTGGCTCCATCCTAGTGCAAAACGATGAAATACTACTAGTATTTAATGCTTAGTAGTCTAATACTCGTCTATGGCTGGCCCCTCTTTCCCATGATATCTGGTTGCCATTTGCAACACATTTTTTTCTTTCTAGCAATTTCTAGCTTGCCGTAAGAGAACGAAAATTGGAGTATTATGAGGTTTGTTTTGCAGCTTTTCACAAAAGTGTGGTGAATTAAAGGCGGATACTAAAGAGCAAATCGCAAATAAGCTTACCGACATGTACGTTTTATCCGCGTTCTCATTACATCCCACATCTCCACAGCCCACTTCTCCATCTTCACTTTATCATCCTACTTCCGCTTCTTTGTACCTCCTCTCCTCACCTGCGTTCAGCATCACCTTCACCATTCACAACGCCTCTCCTCCTCCTAACAAACCTTCACCGCTGTCGCACGATACAGATAGTAAGACATAATCCAGTTAAGCTGATTCAGTTGCAGCCATTGCACTCTCTTCATTACTGCAAACCCTTTAATATGGATCCCACATATTCAGTGCATCCATGTTTTATATCCTATCACATCGTGTTACAGTATTCACCAATGAAGGATTTAATTTTTTCAGCATTTGGCTGTAGCCACCAGGCAATGATATGTCATCAGTTGCTAGAGAATCGTTGTGGAACAGGCTAATCCGAATACATTTCTTGTGATAATTAGATAACGAACTTGTACTTGCAATGCGTCACCCTCGGTTTTGGTGAGGCGTCACTTTTGTACATTGAATTAGCCCCCTCGTACCTCGCTGGATGGGCTGGCCTTTTGGGCCATGCCAATAGTCCAGGCACCTTCTCCGTGCTGAATATATGTATTCTGCCCGAGTATTGTGTCTTCTTTCGTCTTCAGAGAGTCTCGGGGCGCTACAACTATGTCGTTGTCAGTCTACTTTATTCCCTTCTGTTGTGTTTTCTCTCCCAAAAAGCTACGCAATCGTACACGTTCCGCAAAAAAAGGTAAGGAATTGTGATCACGACCCCAACCACTCATCTTTAACAGAACGTTGTCGTTTTAATAGCTTGATCAGCGAAAACCCTACCCCATTTCGGATTCGACAGCATCATATAGTCAATCTGGTTAGATGAGAGCTGCAACATGAAAAGACAGATAATCAGGCCTAGGCAGACACAATTTGCGAGTAAATGGGTCCACTCTGCTGGTTCTGCCCAAAATCACTGACCCACAGATATATTGTTCATATTTAGACTACCGTTGTTCGCGGGAAATCTGCCTCTTCCTGCTTGTCATAAAGCAATTAAAAGTATTGCTCTTTTTAACAAAAACAGTGTGTTGCACAAAGATGATAGGCAGATGGAAAAAGTACGTAAACGCGTGCGTGGGTGAAAGGGTATAAAGGCGAGGGAGAGAGATACCAAGTTTTTTACGTCGCAGGTAGGTATAAGCCAAGTATTTAGAAATATTGTGTCTTACAAAGCAGAATTGCCAAAACCTAAGCAATGCGCTAGAAAGTTAGCTTTGCTAATTTATAATACATCTGAAATTATCCAAATAAGTAATCATAGCACCCAAAATTTGCACTGTTGCATTCGATGAATTTTGAAATAAATTTTGTTTGTTTTTTTATTTTTATTCATTTTTTGTTTTAAGAAACTTTTACATATTCTTTTTTGTTTGACTACACTATTAACTCTTACCCGAATGCCACCGCGCATTGGATGAAGTGTCGTTTTGGTAAGTATTTTTTGAACTTGTGGTGTGCAGCAAAGGTCATTTTATTAAATTCCTTATGTGAAGGATGCAGGCGATTGACAAGTATCGATTGTGTTTTTTGCCACTTTTTTCACCCTGATAGTTTGTACATAAGGAATATGGTACTTCCACAGTTTAACAGTCGTGTTCTGCATTCGACGAATATGTCTGTGTTGAACGTGGGGAATCACCAAATGCGATCAGTTGCCATGAATTTTCACTAGTCGCACTCGACGCTCCTCTGTAGGGTGGAATCTGTTGGCAACTTTGCTAGGCTTGTCGAAGGAGTCTGTTCTAACCCGCAGTCTTCGTTACTTGGACTTGTCAGAGAAGAGGATCTTCTAACTTTCGAAGAACCTTTGGAAGAGGGAGAATGTGGAACGTCTGTCTATATCGAGTAATTACTGTTATGTTGTGTTGGATAATATTGATGCGTAGATATGGTTTTGAGTGATAGGGAATGCGTAATCGACTTCCTTATTAGTATATGTGGACGATCACTTACGAATGCTTGATATAGCATCACCTCACTCGTCGCTTGTATAGGTAACACGTGGGGCATATTGATGACAATTTATCCTTAGAGACGGAAAGGTAATTTGCGGAGAATAAAAGAGGCGGTGGAACGAGCCCGATAACCTGCATCCTCATGCTCATTAGATCTTTAGCTAAGGCTTCCTCTACCAAGAGTATTATGCGATGAGTCGCCGATATTGCACTCGTAGCTGTTTGAAAACCGGTTTGCAATCCTTTTCTACCCCTTGAGAAGCATTCATAGACATTTTAGCCAGTTCACATTGATTTCGAAATAACAGCATTACTATTCAATTCTTTATTTTTTAAACCCATTTTGTTCCCGTATGCTCTGTTGTTCTTCGCTGCTTGCTCACTGCGGTTCGTCTATGTCCGCTTATCGCCGTGCATAGGTGGATGGAAAATTTTGCAGATAATATAACTCGAATGTGAGAATGAGGCAGCCACTCACTTTTTAGCAGTCATTATAGCCAGTTCACTCGTCGCTATGCGGTTATACTTACAACTTGCAAAAGTGATAATTATTCGTCAGGGTGAATATTGGCCCCTGAAAATTATTCTGAGCAGCATGTGTTAAGGAATAACATTCTAATTGCAGTTTTTATGAATTCCTCCTAGCCTAACGTAGCGCTATCGATAAAGGAGGAAATTAATGGGGATATTGAAGGTACTAAAGTGCTTACTGCTCTCTACGGCTCTCGTCTGATCAGGAAATTAAACGGTCTTCTCTGTTTGTGTTGTGCTTCAGGCAGGGGCGTGATTATTCATATGGCTATACTGGGTCCTTCTTAATGTTATTCCTCATTCATGCCCTTCGATTTTCGGTCCGGCAGTAAGGGCAGTGCCGTGGTGAGTCTCGCCTCGAGCCTCGAGGCCTGTGCCAACGTCCCTCCCAACGCTCACAGTCGGGCGCTCTTCGCCGTCCTTATCGTGGTCAATCTCTTAAGCGGCTGCGAGTCTTATAACATTAGTTTTCACTCACTTCCTCTCTTTTTATTTCCTCTTTCTCTTTCGATAGTCGACGACCGCTTTGTTGCTTAGGTCATTATTATTGGTGTGTTTAGTTGATCAGTTTATCCGACTTTGTATCAAACCTAAATAGGTATAATTGTGTAATGACAGCTCTTCAATCGTAACAGTCATTCCCAAAATAGAAATGTGAATGACTCTATTTCCAGTAATGAGCCGCGCTGCCACAGGGCTCGCCGTGCCTAGGGCCGCATAGATACGGAGCGTTTAGTAAGTCCCGATGCTGTTACGCAGTAATTGTACGCCCTCTTTCTCAAGAAGACTGGCATCTCCTATAAGGAGGGTTTTCACTGACTAGCGGATGTCTTTTAGTCGGTTTATCTTATTGTACTCTACG